GAGAGTGCATCCCCGATCATTACCTTTGTCCGACAAAGGGGCTGATCCTATCACTATGATCACCCACTCARATGAATTCTYRRACWRYCCCAACATACCCAGGTTTTGACCCTCGCTAAGGATCTCACTGATTGGTACATCAAAGGCAGCCCAATCCGACACCTAGTGTAATATCATAATCGAGTCTAAGGGTCGGGTGTAACTTTTCAGTTTTGCCCATCAATCTCCAAGGTCTAGGGCAACATTGGAAATCTGGTCCAGTTCATAGATTCAATTAATCCCACACTGTATATGCCTAGGGTCTCACCCTAGCAGCTGAGAAAGGCCACCCCAACTGACTTGGTGGCACCATAGTGTCAGCCTTGTCAGGATAGGTCTCCCCAGACCGACCCACTGGGTGTGAACATTCTAAACAAACACAAGTCTCATTAAGTGTCCAGTTTAAGGGTATTACACTGAAACATACCAAGGAACATGAATCAAATATGCACTTTTATTCATTTACAACAAACTCATAAAGTACATCATTCTGATTGAAGCTAAGGGCATACAAAACTGTCTAACACTTTGAAGTTTGGTAATTTCAATCACGTCTCTTAAACTTTTTGACATTATTGCAAGTAGAACCCCTTTGTTAAAATCTTCTAAACAAAGGCATCAAAAAGTCTAAAATACCCATGCAGTTACTTTTGACCAAAATATTTTTTCTTCCAAATTTTCTCTTCATATGAATCACTGGTCCAAACCCTTCCAATCTCTAGCTCTTCTGAAATTGATTTATTTTCCAAATTTTTCCTTCATATCAATCACTCAAAGGTAATGTTGCAACTTTAAATTCTCTTTTTTTTTGTTATACCTCAATAGTAACCACATGGGTATTTTGGACATTTTTAGGCCTTTTGTTAGAGGATTCAAACATAAGGGGTCTACTTGCAATTATATCATAAAGTTCAGGGGAGGCAATTGCCATTACCAATCTTCAGGAGAGATTTCAACAATTTACCCTAAATCTTCCAATGATTCAGGCCAATCTGCATATTATGTAACTTGGAAGTGGGTTTTCTGTTTGTCACTTTTTTCTTTGTATTTTATTTGTTTATTTATTTGATAAGGTAGGTTTTCTATTTGTTTCTAGTTAATGTCTTGCAAAAAAAAAAACAATAAATTTGTCAATTTTTAGGGGTTGCAAACAGATCGGATCAGATTCAATAAAGGGTATATTTTATCCGATCCGATAAAAAATCCAACCAATCCGAATCCAATAAGAATGTGCTGGATTTTCAAGAGTATGATTCGAATTCAAATATCTTATCGGATATCTGATTTTATTAGAATTGTAGTAAAAAACGTGATGATATAACATAAATAATATATTATAATATAGAATATAGAATATAGAATATAATAGAATATATAATAAAATATTTCATAACTAACGGATCGGATTGAGTTGGGGTGTATCAAGATTCAATCTATTAACTAATCGGATCAACTTTTTCCAACCCGATCCAATTTGTTAAGATGAAGGGAGGTATCCGAATGCGGCTCTTACCGGATCAAATTCAGATTTGAATCAGATCTGAGTATCTGACCCAACCGATTCTCTTGTTCTGTATCTCAAAATAGTTCATAAAGCCTCTCTAAAATTACAACTTTTGATACATCAGTTTTGACCTTCTGGGTCTCCATTTCGAGTCCCAGTTATAAATTTATTTTAGGGTCAGTATTGATTTTACCTGTTCTTAGTTTTGAAATCTGAACTAATTAAGATCCAATGATGAGCATGGACATGGTTGTGCATAATATATTATCAATTGCTCTTTGATTCAAGCTACGTGTGACTTGTTGCTACTAATGCCTCCAAAAATTTCCTCTAAATTTGAATAATAAACTCGATTATTGGTTCTTAACCATACCAGTTCTCTCGACGAATCCAACACTCATAAACCTAAATGCGGAATGCATGGTGAGGTGGGTGGCCGGATTATCTGCGTGATGCTAGGCTTGGCTTACTCTTCTGTTTTTCCAACCTCAAATGAGTAAATCTCGCGCCTGAAATCCTAACCATCAAAACAAACTTCCCTGACTGTTGTTCCACTATTTGGGTTATTAATTGATCCTCAAAGATTTCATCCAACAAATTACAAATGGTTAGGAACAAACAGTCCCATGCTTCTAATGATTTTGAATCTATCTCCATGAGCTTTAGAAGGGAAAAGAAGAGCTTCCGACCCCCTCAAGGCTCAAACCCAATTGTTACTGATTCCTCCTATCTATCCCATCTAAACTCCACCCCCTCAAAGAGGCAAAAGCCATTAGTCAGACTGATCAGCAGGTCTATCAAAACTCTAGATGAACCAGATTTAAAAAACATCAATTTCAAAGCCCCCACATAGCCTAAATCTAGATAAAATGGGTTTGCTACATCTCTGTCACGGTTACCAATTGTGGGTTGTGACAGGGGCACCGCCCTTGTGGGTTCTTGCTCTTGTCAGTAACCATTACAGAGAGTCAGAGATGGGCCCTTGGCCACCCAACGTAACAAGAGAAAGCAAACCCAGATCAATCTTTCCCATGCAGGGGTTTGTTACCAATCTACTTTGCTCCATCATTCAACTAGATCAAACAAACCACTAAAGAAATTGCACAACAAACAAAATTCAATTCAACAAACAGATCCACGTCTCTTTCTCCCACAAACACACAACCAACATCTCTCTCTCTCTTTCTCTCTTACTGTGTATATTTCTCTCATCATGCTGACATAGGTTGTATGGAAAAACCTATAGAACAAGCAACCCTCTATTGTGTTTCACCGGATTGGCCAAAGGATCCTCCTCCATGGTCTGTGTTTCAAAATTGCTATCTGCAGAGCCAAGCAGCAGAAAGAGAGAATACAGTTTCTCATCCATAGCCACCTCCCTACTTAGAGCTTTAGGTTGAGATCAACAGCTTCCCCTGCTTCGCCTCTCCGGTCGTTTGTGATGGCCGCCCCTTGGCCAATCTGCCCCTTTGGAGGCAAGAAGCTGTAGAATGGCTGGTGGTCTATGCTTCCCTATTAACAAAAGCAACCATTAGATCATGAATGCAGAATGGATTAACGACTTACTCCCTGTTGATTAGCCTTACTTGAATTGGGGGAAAATCGAATTCAGGGAACTGTTGGGAGACAGGAAACGCCAATGGCTGCTTGGATTTAGATGATGAACCAGTTGCAGGAGGGCCCAAGGTGAGAAAATCACCATCAAGAGCACCATTCTCCTTAACACCCTTCTTCTGATTCAGCTCCGATAGGCCTCTCCTCCAGTCAAGATGAGGTGCCATCGAGCCTGAAGGACCCTCTCTGTCAAATGGAGCCAAAACAATCTCAAACAAACTATTGAAATGTGACGAGACAAAACATAAGAGACAAAATAACAAAACTGGACCAACCTGATTATTGCACTTCCAGGTTCATAGTTGAACATGCCACCATTCCGACATGAAGAAGAATCATCTGGCCTGCAAATGGGAAGGTTGATCGGAGGATATTTGCACTGGAACGCAGGAACAGGTGGGTTGTCGAGAGAGAATGGCCATGACCGCTTCATGCCAACCATCTATACTACATTCTAACCAAACTCACTATCAGAGAAAAAAAAAAGGAAAAACAAAAAAAACAAAAAGATCTTTTTCTTTTGTTTATGATTTATAAAAGGTAATCGCCACATACCTTCTCTTCCTCGGGCAGAAGAGGTAGTGTATAGTTGTTATAATAGCTTTGGTTTGAAGGGGGCTCCATCTGAAGATTTAGTTCAGAGGATGATGAAGTCACCGAGGCGACATTCACCTGCAAATACCAGACTGAGAATCCCTGTCTGGAGATAGAAAACAAGGAAATAACCATATTACAGACTACTTGCTCACCATTGACGAAGAATGCTGTTGTTGTGGTTGTTTCCTCTGCATGATAATCGGGCGAGGCCAAATGTTATTAGTTTCGTTCTGTAAATGGCTGCGAAATGTGAAACCCGGGTCCAATTTGGAACCTTCAGTGAATTCATGGGAATTCCACATCGTCGGAAAATAACCATCTGCGACCGTGGCGGCCGAGTCATCCATTGTAGCGGCAACTCCCCGGCCAGCACCGCCTGGATGGTTACCGGGGAGACCATAAAGTGGTGTCGTCGTTGGAAGGGGTGGAGGTGGAACAAAGAGATCGAGGGACGAGATTGGAATTGGAGGAGTTTGCCTAAACAGAGAACTGGATGAAGAGAGATCGGCTGGAGATGACTGGAAGGGAATGGAGGATTGTGACTGATAGGGATTGAGGGGAGGGCCTGGAGGGAGAGGGACGACGATGCACGGCGAGGATGGCACGACTGCCACTGCTGCGGCGTCCTTCTTCTGCTGCTCTTCCAATCGGATCTTCTCCAGCTGGGCAACACCAAGCCCCCTCTGTGGGATCTTTTTCTGTTTCAGCTTCTTTGAAGATCGACTTCCAGCAGGACCACTGTTGCTATTGCTCTGAAACTGCTCCTCCTGTACCATTCTTGTTACCTTCCATCTAACGCAGAAACAAAACCCAGAAAGAAAATTAAAAACAGAAAGGACAACGAAAGAGACCCAAAAACAGAGTACAGAAGAGAAGATGAAACAACCAACCAAATGAAAATTCAGACGGAACCCAAAATTCTAATTTGAAGACGTAAATTTGAGAAGCAAAAAAACTTTCAGCAAGGAAGGCGGAAGAGAACCCAAATGTGAAAACAGAGATATCGACAAACAGAAAAACCCATCTTGAGACCGAAAATCCTGCAGCTTCTGGAGTCAAAATCGGCTAGTTTTAGGAAAGAAACCCATCCAAGAAGTTTCAGAGAGAAAGAGAGAGAGAGTATGGAGAGCTCCGGATCTTAATCTCCTGATTTGCTTGTCTGAGAGAGAAATCAGCCCGAAAAATTGCCCCTTCAAACCACGCAAATCCAAGCACTTTATAAAATCTTTTCCTCCTCTTTTGTCGCCCACCTCCTCGCTCCGCTCTCCCTTCCTCTCCTGGACCGGCTCTTAATGCTGGAAATTTGGAATTTTTTTCCTTTGCCTAGATTTCATTTCAAAAATCTTGCTTTGCTGGTAACGTTTCCATGGCCTCAAGTTTAAAGTTTAAACCCCTCTCTCCCACACCCACTCTCAACCGACTCTACAGGAACCGGATGAATATGATTGCCACGTCAGAGTGGCAGTGGGCCCATGAACTACCGTGGCATATCATGATTGTCCCAGTATTACGAGAACAGTCCACCTCAATTTTCTTGCCAAATCAGCCGATTGTGATGATAAGATGAAAAATCAGATTCGGCAAATCAATTTCTATTACCAAACACCACCTTGGTGTTATGACTGTCATTGGTGTTTGAGCATTAATCAGCAACTTAATTAAACATTCTATTGCAATCAAAGTCTAAGAAATGTGGTTTGCTTTTTCATCTTTCAACCTGTCATGTCAGGTGCCATTTCACCAAGTTTCAGAATTTATGGAAAGGTTGATGTCAACAAATATTATTTCTGCCATTTATGCTAAGATGCTGACGTGGATAATTTTTTCAACATAGTGACAGATAATGACCACAATGACAAAAACCCTCTAAAAAGTCATGGATTTAGTTTTAGTTAATAACAGACTATCTTGTGGGCAATGTTTCTACTTTCTAATACTAATCATGTTTATGAAGTAATATAAATCCATGGAACTATGTTGGAAGCATATGGCAATGGCATGAAAGTGATACTATAATAGTAGACCTTATAACTTGCCACCTGTCCCATGTTTCAAGAATTCTGACCCACCATACAATTGGGGCACTGTTTGGCTAGTTGTTTTCTAAGAGAAACTATCCTCCATTTTTGGCATCTTTCAGGGTAGGACCAATTCAATTTGCAGGTCCACAAGGGAGCCTCTCCCAGTGCCAATTGCCTAAACTATGACCCAAGTTGGCAAGAAAATCAGTTGCCATGTGATGTTTTATTTTTTATTTTATGGCAAAATCCATCATGCATTGCATCAACTGAACCGTGTAGCAAGGAATGTGAACCAATGATAAAATGATACGTCACAATTAATATCTGAACATTGTTAAAGTTTTTATGGTAAGTAAATCTTGTGAAATGTTAATAAAAATGAATTGGTTAAAATTTAATGTGTAGCAAATATTAAATAATGCATCATAGTTGGAATTGTTTAAGACAGGAAAAATAAATTTCAAAATCTGAACTAGAATTTTCAACTGAAAACACCCCCCATGTTTTTAAGCTTAAAAAGGTCATTTTGAAAAAACTTAACCACATTTTTCTCATAAAGATGCTGAAATAATGGTGTTATTATTGAATTCAGGCATAATAGAAAATAGAAATTTAATTCAATGAAGTATGTAGGAAAATTTTGCCCATCTCACAAAGAGTGTTGTAATTGATTCTCCTCCTAAAATTTAATGTTGCAATTTGTCATCTGAATAAAATCCCACTTAATAGTATTATAATTGATTCTCCTAAACTTTGCATTAGCAGACTTCTGGGGAAGGGCTATGCCCTGAATCATGTATCATAGATCTCTATGTAACCTAAAAAAAATGGGGGAAAGGTTATTTCTGTAACCTGTAATCCAGCTTTTCTTGTCACCTTTCTTCAGATAATAGGTCATGGTTTACCTGAAAATAGCAAAAGAATATTTGATTTTTTTTTCACTGCAATAAAGAATGTGCATTTGATGACAAGTATGTGATCTATTGCCAAAATGACTGGGTGGGGCAGGTTAGCCAATTCACCTGCTCCAACCTCAGCTGGTCAAGCTTAATTTAGATTTCCTAAAGACTCAACCCAACTATCTTGATACGTAGAAGAAAGCCCAAGTTGCACCCTTACCAGTGATGATATCAATAAGGTCATCAACCTAGGTCCAAATTCCAATTTTTCTAAAAATTCTTAAAGGAATACAGCCATGGCCCATGGGGCACTAGTCCTAAGTAAAGAACAATTTGCTTTTGGGCTTTGGTGACAAATTTGTATTCTCCCCAAGGTGGGGCCCAAGAAGGAGTTTTGTGAGAGTTTAGTAAGTTCCAAGGGATTCCATAGGCGTACGCAGCAAGCATATCCTTAGGGGTGCAAGAAAGACAATCTTTCTTATGTGATCCAAATCGATTTGCCTTTTGGGTCGGGCCCACCCAAGACCCAACAAACTATGTCTAACAGCGTGAGAAAGAAAACAAATTTTGTCTTCAGGACTCAGAAGACCCAGCCATTTTCTTTTCTATATCATGCCACGGCAGCCATGAGAAGGATGGTAGAGCTTCCACGTGAAACCCCTTTTGTCATCTCTCATGACTCAGACATCAGATGCCAAAGTTTGGTAGATGAGTAGATCTACAAGATATAAGCCCCCTCTCGGCTTCTCCCTGTTCTAGCTCATAAGATCCTCCGGGTTGTTTGAATCCTTCCCTTGTATCGTCTCTATCTCTCTCTCTCTAGACTTGGGACTTGGGTATCCAAAGAAGGAAGGAAACTTACTATCTTTTGATCAGTACTGGACAAGTATTTGAGTCTTCTTGGCTGTGTCCAATTTCAGCCGTGCGATCCTGTCGGTTGGATGTCCTGTGCACAGATTGATTTTGGTCCCACAAGGAAACAAGGGTAGGAAGCGACTGCAAATTCTGACCCGCTTTGAATCTGGACCAGGGTTTTATTTGACCTGGTTAACCAGCTGTCTCCTTTATTTAACACAAAATGCCCATCTTTTTCTTAGGATAGAGACGACTCTCAAGGTTCAAGCCCTTAGTGAATCCGGGCTGGGTTAATCGGACCCAACTTTTGTTGTACACTTAAGCCCTAATCTTTTTGGCACCACAAAGGCACTAACTGAACTGTGACTGTAGCTAAACCCTTGTTAGCATTAAATGTTCTCTCTAGAACAATGTCATATCTCATTGATGGGGATATTCTTTGGCAAGAGAAAATGAGTCTTAGGAGCCAAGAAATTAAGGAATCCTCAATTGAAAAGGTGGTCTCTTCCCAATTAGGTATGTTTGGGATACTTGGATAGAGATGAATAAGCATCTGTTCTATTATTGCATTGGAGGTAGTCTACATGTTAAACCTTCTTAAAATGGTGAATTGATACACAAATCCTGCAAGAGCCCCCTGCAGTTTGTGGAGGAGGGGAGCTTGGAAAGATTGTGATGAATGCCAAGCCACATCAATTAGATTTATCATAGTTTTATCATCTCTCCCTCTTTGTTGCCACCCTAGAAACCCATTTGTGGAATGAGATTGCCCTATGCAAATAGATATGGTTCCATTAAAAGGTACCCTTTTGAAGGGAAGTTTAAAGAGAACTTTCTCAACTTGGCAGGGGCTGTAGGGCACTGAATAACCATGCTGTGGGCACAGTTATTTCTATTTAGGGATGCAAGGTTGGTCTCCATTGCCCCATTGCCATTTTTGGTGGGAAGGCTGGTGGCTTGATCTAGATGTGACATGGCTATTCAGTGGCAGACACCAATTTATACAGCAAAAGCTATTTTTATTAGGAGCCCAAAAGAGATTGATAGCATGTGACCAACCCAAGTATGAGGGGGAAATCCCTTCCATGACCCTGGCAAAATTACTGCCATCCCCTCTGGTTAGGTCCTTCAGATGTCCTACATGTGGTTCACGACTTTATATCTTACAGTTGTCATGACAGAAACAAAGTTGCCCTAACTACGGCTATTGAGAAGAGTGAGAACTGACCTTAAATTCAAAGATCCTACACAGTAAAAGAAGTTGGCTTGTTGCCTTGGTTACTAAAAAAATTCTATGTAGACTGTCCAAACTTGTTTGTCTTTCAACCTTAGTAGTTAACCAACATCAATTGAAGCAAGAGAGTTCACTCAAGGAAATAATGTAGAAATGGAGACGCTCTCACCATTGTTTTTCCATGTGTCCATATGTGGGGGGAGGTAATTACCAAATGTATGCAAAAATATTGTATTTAGAAAAAGGGCAAATGCAAAATCAAAGCAAATCTGTGCTCCTAAATAGATGAAGGCATACATTTATGTTTACCAAAGATTTGCACTCCTACTCGTTTATATTTTATACAAGCTATTCAATCATGCGTTAGCATTCTTTCACGAAGACAAAGGTTCCATTTAATTCCATAGACATTGTGAGACTTGGGATTACATTCACTAACCATGCATTGAAGCCCAAATCCTTTTCTTTTGTGTGTGAGTGTGTGTCAAAGGCCTAAAGCTAAGCCAAGCCCAGCCGAACTTAGGCCTATGCAATTTTTCTTATTTGGGTTTTGGGCCCAAAGCCCACCCTGGCCCAATCCTGTACATACCTGGATCAGGGTTTATATATTATATTTAAGGCCCGGCAACCCTTAACATAGGTGCTAAGTAAACCCGGCCTGGCCCGGCTCATGATCATCTCTATAGATGAAGCTAATTTTGAAATTCTAGCATATAATAATGAAAAACAACAACAAAACTGATAACAACATGCATTTCCCTCCCATTATTTTCTCATGTGCAATTATCACTATTTTTTTTTTCACTTCAATTGCACTCTTGCCATCTTCTAAAATATCTATACAAAATTTTAAATAGTGAACTTGATTTGTGCATTGCATTTTAACTCCAGGCTTCATTTGTTGCAGAATCTAAGCAAATTTGCACTCCAACCAATTTTGCAGGTGTTTGGTAAGAACACATTTTTGTAGTGAAAATAAAAGTAAACTTGTTTTTTCAACCATTTTTGCACTTAAAAGGAGAAAAAAAGTTTTGGGTAAATCTATGATGGCGGAAAGGTATGATACCAATCAAATCCCCCTAATCTCCTTGAATTTCAATGAATACCACCTAATTGGTTACCACTTCTATGATACCAGTCGATTGCTTATTAAGTTTTTTTTTTTTCATATCATATATTTAAGCTTTCACATGGGAAGCGAAAACTTCAGCATCTCACCTCATGGGTGCTGAGGTATACAAGGTGGGGTGGATCGGGGTTATGTGGCTCTTTTTATTTTTTGTGAAAGGTTATGTGGCTCAATTCCATATAAAATAGGTTGAGTCCAGCCTTGAGATATGTGTTTACACTTTACACCCATTACATTGACCACCAAACAATATATATTCATTTCCCCGTTTTTGGCTGCTGATCTCCAGGATCGGAACACTGAAATTTGTGTTGGACTCTGTAGATTGTAGAGTTGTTGCTTGTAGCTAACAGTGTAAGCCTCTCTTAGGCCTCAGCTTGTTTTCTGGTTTGTTTTCTTTTCCCTGTTCATCAGTGTGAAACCGAACCATTACTTTGCTTTCAGAGCAGTGCATTCACTCTGCGAGGTCGTCTCACGGAAGGCAGACAAGTAGCCAATCCCACCTTCACTCTGGTTCTGAAACAAGAAGCGTAAGACATGCTGGTATACAAAATCACAAACAAATAAACAGGGTCAGATATCTGGACGAACACAGACCACAGATCGATGTACTACAACTGACGTATTCATTTGTGATTTGATGTACCAGCAACTGACGTGCATTCTTGTTTTCAGCACTGTCCAGATTCGGCTTTATATCTGTTGTACACAATAAGCTCTCCACGGCTGACTTGCGTGCAGCAAAGTCCAAACTGTGAAGATTTTGAATTGGCTACTCATTTGCAGCTCCGATCCTTCATCAGAAAAACTGGAGACGTTTTTGCACATAACACACCCAATACAAGCAATATTTCGTTTGATTAATCCATAGAAAAAGAATATAATATTCTTATCAAGTTATTATTGTTTTAAACAGGTAGGTGCCATTCATGGCGCTTCATACTTCATAGGACAAAATGCCCTTAAATCATCTTCGCATTCAAGAAACATTATTTTGATTCAGTTTCAAGTTGATTTTTTCTTTTTCTCAACTTTAAAACTAGCTGGCCCATGTGATGCTGACATATGTAACAGCGTGGAAACCTGAAACGAGAATGTATACGTTGGCAATCGACCGATAAACGTCACCAGGGATCGATCCCGAGTTCCCGACAGACCCGGCCGGAGGCGGCAGAGTCGGCCTCTGGAATGAGCACCGACTTCCCAAGTAAATGGACTACACGACAATACAGTCTGCTGCTTACAAACAAGAGAAGCTAGTTAGCTAGCGAACCTTTTACAATTGAAGAAATGACTTCACCAATCAAGAATCGGATGCAGAAGCTAATAGTTCTGCTCTGTTTTGCATCTGTTCCGTCTTATTTCTGGGTGTTTTGAGTTTTCTTCTTTTTGATGAATGTTTTTTCTACCAAATATGAATGTCCAAACTCCAAAGGTGAGAAATATAGGCAAACTTACCAACTGGGTTTCTGAATCGGTTTCAACTTCTGGTCTTTGGTGGTGTTTTGATTCTGAGTGCCAACTTAATTTTAGTACCTATCCTCAACTCAGACTTAACTCTTTTTATTGCCTCGAAAACCAGAGCACATGGAACAAAAGCTGTGAGCAAAATCTCAAATTCTTTTGTTCCCGTGAAGGAACTGTTCAACTATCTATACAATCTAAGAAAGCTATCAATGACAAGTGTCTGTCACGCGTGTGACATCTCTGTATATATCAGACTTGAGAACTATATCAAAACCCAAAAGAGAAAAGAAAGAATTGTACCCAAAAATCAAAATCACTGCCTCTCTACATCTTCCACAGCATCTGCTTGCTCACAAGGTTGAATTCTCCTCCCTGATCTCTCCCTACTGAGCATCCTCCGGAATGAGCTCATCCGGGAGCTCGATCCACCCACTTTGGAAGAAGACTGAGCAGCCCCATCTGAAGTACCCTCTGAACATGTCGTTGCGGGATGCAATGAGTCGACTGTCGGGGCTGAAGACTGAACCATCATAGTACTTGATTCACCGGGCTCAGGCTTTGGTTGAGGTTCGGCCTCTGTTCGGCAAACTGGGCACGTAGTGTGAGAGTCTAGCCACATATCAATGCATTGAACATGGAACAAGTGCTTACAGTTGGGTAGAAGCCTGACTCTCTCTTCTTCTTCTAAGCTACTCAAACACACTGCGCACTCTGTCGTGGTAGCGCCACCTAGCTGGTCCTGCTCTGTTTGCTGCTTGTAGACGAATATGGGCAAGGAGGCAAAGACTGAAGCGTCGAGCCCCCTCTTGGGTTGCTCATTCTGCACCTGCCAAGCTACGGCTCCCATGCTCAGACGACGGAGTGTGGCCTGGCGTGCTGCTTGGCGTCGAAGCACGCACCTGGCATAGATGTGGAGCAGGACAACAAGAATGACAACAACAAACAAGGAGATGATGGCCGTGAGCAAAATCTTTCCATTCACACCCAGTCCGTTGTTATAAGACGGATATTTGTTGGGATCAAAACTTGGGGGGAAATACGTATCAGGATAGCTGAAATTGAGAAAAGGGCGGAACCCAGGATCGCTGGGAACACTGGGGGAAGAAGCCATGGTGGCTTCCAATGGAGAAAGACAGAGAAGGAAGAGGATCTCTTCTTTGGTTCCTCGGTCTCAGTTCATTTGGGTTGTTGATATTAGTGGAAGAAAATTGCGTATGTTCATGACAAATGCTGGGCGTGGTTCTGAATTCTGAAGTCTTCACTTTCAAAGACGGGAAGAGATTAATTACAGTCTGGAACCTCCATCTCTTTTCCAAGAGGTTGACTAGATGCGGCGTGGTTTTCCTCTTAGGCTTTGTTTGGGCTTTAAGTTTCTTTTTTTCTTTTCCACCTTGTGTTTTCGTTGTTCAAGCTATTGATCTCCGTTGACTAGAAACATTGGGGTTGCAAAGACCATAATACCATCTAACAAAGTACCAAAATAATTTATAAAAAGTTTACCGGCATGGGCATTGTAGTCATTTCATTTCACATGGTATGGTAAGGAGTGGGGTCCAGCAGGAAAGGTGCAACGATTTGTTAGGTGCAAACCTACCACCCACGTATTCCCACCGTTACGTAAGGCACATGAAACTTGAGACTTTGAGACTAGAGAGAGAGAGGACAGAGAATTAAAAATCCTGGAATTGTATTAATTTATGGTTGGTTTGTCCTACAAACACGTAAGATGAGGAGTAGTTTGAAAAAGTCTGACCGAAACCCAGAAACGGGAAATGGTGAAATGAGTTGGAAGATTGTGGGTGTAGAGGATCCTCTCTTTCTTGATCAACAAAGTCAAAAATGGAGACTTTGTTGCAAGTCTGAAAGTAACAATGACAGAACCATACCTCATTAGTCATCAACATTAGTTGAAGAAAATACTTGTAATTTCTATTACAGGATGGATGAATCATGAAGACAATAATACACCACCACTTGATTGATTGCGGAAACATTGGTTTGAAACCGTGGACGGTTAGAGACTACTGGGATTTGGAACTTGGAACTTGGACTTGGACTTGTTTTCCTTTTACTTAAGAACCAGATTCCATATGAATCCTCCTCACTAACCATTGATTTGGTGACAATGGGATTAGTGTAATACACTAATACCTAGTGTATCTCTGTTACGTGGATTCCAATCTGATGTACAATCTATACTGATGTGAGATTGAGAGTGGGGGTGTATAGGAGCAGAGGGTGAGAGTCTCTGTTTCTATGTCAGCAAGTGGGCATAGTATTTTATTATTTTAAAGGTGTAGTTTGGGTAACAGTCTGTCTCAGGGGAGTTAAATATTGTCAAATAATCCAAAAGCAAAGGTTTGGTTTGGTCTATATGCTTGTAATAACAGATTTACATAAAGAAATAATATAAAGAGAATCATACTAAACAGGGGTCTAGTTTATAGTAGTTGTGGTTGTTATACTAAACTTTTATGTTGTTTTTATAATTAAATTTTGAATAATGATGATAAGGTAAATATTCGTAATGTTATAAGTAGGGTGGACATATTAGGTCTGGGTTTAGCAACACTAAATCAATTCAAATTTGGTTTGATGTGGTTGGTAGTTAACCTGCTATTATACACTAATTTAATGTTTCACGCAAGTAATAAAATATATATGGGACCCATGGCGCTTGAATTTATTACTAACGTTGAACATTATGATTGGTTCCACACAGCCCCCTAAATAGATTGTTCCTATACATTTTAAGGGTTGGTTTTAAATACTTATGAAAATGTTTTTTTTTTTTTTTGAAACTTAAAACCTTCTCAAATAAAAGAAAAAAAAATCCCATTTAGTTTTTGCAAAAACCGAGGCCCATTTTAACAAAAACTGGAGAGTAAGGATAGACAAATATAAAACTAAAATGCATTCCAGGAAGTTTTTTTTTTCTATTTTTATTGTTGTATAACATTCAGGCATGTGAACTAAGGCCTAGACTTTAAGTCTAAAATTGGTTTCCTCAATATTTTGAGGATTAGGATTCTTGCTAACACAAATTAGCTCATACATATATATGTCACCAGAAACAAATGTTAATTAATTAATATTAAATGATATTAATTATAAAGCAAATATAGCACAAGGTTGGTTTCTGAAGTTACTTTACCATTTAATAACTGATAAACATGTGAAAGGACGTTTTACTAATTACTAGAAATTATTACTTATAAATAATTGATAGGAAAATTATGTCACAGATTTTTTTTCAAACATAATACTCCCAATTTCTACAAATAAAAATAATAATAATAATAACTCTCAATTGGAGAAATCAGGTTTAAGTGTGAGAATGAACACTTTGTATAACAAATGGCAAAGGTTAGGATCAAGACTGCCCTAGATGGCTGGGACCAACATTGAGTAATGGCTTTTATGTATAATGCTTGATGATGGTAATTTGGCCCAACCTGGTAATAGGGGGATACGTGATACGACCTAAACTAGCAGGCTGACAGCTCACTCTGACACATCAAGTCCGTAATGGATCGAGCTCGGATAACCAGACCACCTCAAGACAAGTCTATCTCGGGACGAGTATACCTCGGTGCAAGGTTACATCAGGACCACCTCGGTCCCAAGGCACTTCGGCATTCATATCAGGTCAGATCTAAAGAGCACGAGCTCAGAAAATGCTAACCAACCACCGCATGGCAACTCCAGAGATCTTGTCACCGTACTCCGCGTCTTACGGGATTGTACCTTGTAACGGCTATATTAGCTCACCCACTCCCCGATTCAGGCGAAAACGGGCAATCTTACCGGTTGGTGGCGTTATCCCCACCTAACACGAAAACGGATTACATCACAGCGGAGATCCAAGAATTGCTCCACCAAACCCACGAGGACTCCAATATATAAAGACCTCACCCCCCAAGGGTGAAGGTATGCGTAATCTCTACTCTCTAGCTCTCTCACAATCTACTATCATCTTCAAGCTCACTATTAAGTGTTAACTTAACCATCAGAGTGACCTCGCCGGGTAAGCCACCCCGGGTTCTCTGATTCATCTCTTGCAGGTTCCTCAGTTTTTGTCGTTGCTGGTAGTCAGATCATCGCCTACAGGGAGCAGCCAGATTGCGCTACATCATTTTGGTGTTGTCTGTGGGAAATCGCTACTAAAAGCCTTTGTCTCAATTTCAAAAATCTCAAAGCTCAGAATCAAATCTATGGCTTCCTCCAGCAACGTCGGACGAAACAACGAAGTGAACGTCTCCGGGGGGCAACCTCAGTTCCTATCTGTCTGCATAGGTCAATTCACCTTACCGCTCTCCACGAGTGGGATCCCAGCACTGACTGTACCTCAAGCAACTGTGCCCGTAATTATTAGAAATTATTTATAAGTAATAATTTCTAATAACAGATTTCTAATTATTAGAAATTATTACTTATAAATAATTGATAGAAAAATTATGTCACAGATTTTTTTGTACAGATATAATACTCTCAATTTCTACAAATAAAAATAATAATAATAATAAGTCTCAATTCGAGAAATCAGGTTTAAGTCTGAGAACGAACACTTTGTATAACAAATGTCAAAGGTTAGGATCAAGACTGCCATAGATGGCTGGGACCAACATTGAGTAATGGCTTTTATGTATAATGCTAATATTAAAAAAAAGTTTTAATTATTTCCATTATATAACCTATATATATTGTTGAAAGAAGAAATAATATTTTTTTTTTATCTGCCAAGACACTAATATTGAATCCAAACTAAGAAAAACGCAATATATATATATAAGAATAGCGTCCTGATGGCAGCAGAAACCAATTAAGAAAATGTTGAAATGAGATGCTGTTAAAGTGGATGGGAATTTGGGAAATGAAAAGAAGAAAGATGGCTTGTAATGTGCGTTTAAATAAAATCAACTAGAATGGTCTTTCATTATCTTTTCTTATAATAAAATGGTAATCTAAATTCCCAATATTGAGCATATAATGTTATATTAAACACAAACTTTCGTATATACACTAAATTTATACTTGATGTTGCTCAATCCGAGGTAGTGCACGAACCGAGGAGAGCAACCAGATAGTCCTTTCCAATAGGGCAGAGCTGAACTACAAGGATGAGGCTGCATTATAAGATCTGCGATCAATAAAGGAAAAGTCAGAGGCCCGATGAGCTATCCTCGGGTAGATACTCCAATGCTCAAGTCAGTAGGAGGTGGTAGATGGTCGGGCCGAGCAATGAAAGAGTTGGTCCGAGCTAAGAAGTAGTATGTGTGTCAAAAGTTGGGGGTCCCTTACCTTGAGCATGGAGTACCTTTTTATAGCCGAAGATTCGTGTCCTGATCGGATTGGGCTTCTGGGATTGTCGGAATGAGGTTAGCCACCGATGTATTTGGGATAGAGTCTCATTCCCCAGTGGATTCATCTTCCTTACTCCTCTTTATCCATAGTTGTGCTCATCCATGTGACGTATAGCTAACGTGGCTGAAAGGATAAGATGGGGGGG